GGAACAAAGTCTGCTTACTTTTCCATTTTTTGTAGAGAATTTCTCTCCATGCTTTTTATGACAGCCATCATGGTAGCCTGTAAGTCTTCATTTGTAACCTTCCCTCCTAATTTCTCAGAAGGACTCGGGCTTTCTGTTAGGACAGGTCCTTGCAAGTCTTCGGGGAGATTTTCCATGCTAGATCTTGGTGTGTATTGGGGTGGTTTTTGTTCTTTTTTCCACTTGAAGTTTTGTTCTTTCCTTCGTGTTCTTGGCATACAAGATTTGAGTCCCACCGGGTGTGGCAAAACTATGTTCGGGCAAGAATTTTACTGGGAAGGGTCCCTGGCTCGAGCACACAGCTCCCCGAGGAGTTGACACTTTGTTTGACTCTCAAGCTCTCGCTCGCTTGTTGGGCTGCAAGAATAGGACAGAGTTAGTTATGAAAAGGTGTCTTTGTTAGGCCTTAGATGTAGGCCGGGAGGCTCGCAATCAAAACTAACTAAATGCTGAGGCGTGCCACTGCCATTTCTGTATGGAAGATGTAAAATGAATGTATTTAAGTTGATTACTTGCGCCCCAAGTTATTCTGACTTCTCATCATCAAAGGATTGTCGTGGATGGGTTAAATCCACATTAAGTTCTTTTCCATGCTTTGAGATCAAAGACTTTGTTTATCATGTATGCTTTTTACATAGTAGGGATTCAGATCTAATTAAGATATTAGTTTTATTTACTTTTATGATAGTAAAAGTACTATGTGAACCAGATCTGAGAGTTAATAGAACTTTGGATCATCAGGAGACCGAAAATGACTTGCGTATATACTAAGGGATACATTATAAAACCAGATCTATTAATGGAAAGGCAAAAACAAAGATAGTCGGGCAAGATTTCACCTTGTTGGGCAATGTTAAAGTGTCTTGCAATCTTTTTTTTTTTTTTTTTTTGCAGTTACAAAGGGTTAAGTAATAAAGAAGGATGAGGGGTAAACAAGTTTACACGAGGGAATCGATACTACAACGTTTGGGGAAGGTAGCAGAGCTTTTACACAGACAAAAGATGTCTTTCTATGGGAAATCTAGGGCTGAAAAAGGGGTGCAGAATCTAGACAAAGTGCAGCTTTCTGAGTATTTGATTGGCTGAGAGACAAGTTGTATGTTTGTTTGTTTGATTGGTTGAGGATCCTTGTCTCTGGGCCTCTTTCCTCCTTTTATAGACGAATTAAAACCAACTGTGCTGTTTCTGTTCTTGCCCAAAAGTAACTGAAGGGTAATGAATCATCAATATTTTTACATATTTTGCCATCCAAAAGTAATTTTGGGCTGTAAGTAGATGGATTTCCATCGGTTGTCACTTCTCTTATAAAGACCTAGCTTTTGCATTTAATATGGGCCCTCATTTTGTCTTGAGAAGGATGATCTGGGCTCGACCCTAGGCTTCTGGCGTACTTTCTTTATTGAGCTTAATTGGGCTTCCTTCCATTTGAAGCTCAAAGTTCAAATATTAACCCAAAACACATTTAACTTCCCTCTCTCGTTTCCTCTCCTCCGTCACCGGCAGCCGCTGCTCGCGACTTCTCTGCCGGCTTTCTCTGTCGGAGGATTCATCTTATTTCTCTCTCTCTCTGAGGTATGTAATCTCACTTAATTCTTCAATTTTTCTTCCATTTTTTGCTCTGTTTTTCCTTCGTGATTCTTCTATCTGCTAGATATTAGTTGATAAAAATGATGCTGAAAACTTGCTGTTTTGGGGAACGATAGAAACTTTAGGGTGCAAATTCAGTTCTCTGATTTTACCGAAAACATTTTTTTTTTTTTTGGGAAATATTGAAACTTTAGGCTACAAATTAAGTCCTCTGACTTTAGTGTTGGCACAGGCATGTGTTTTTCCAACCCGGAGAGTTGGGATAAGGCACTGTGTTATCTTTTACTTGAAGAACGTTGACAGGGTTGTAATGGGTATCTGCCCATGTTCAAATCATGTTTGGTTGATTCGGGTTCTCTCAGAAACTCTACGTTTTTTGTGGAGAAGGGGAATTTCAGAGCCTATTACGCCACTGCGTCTGCGCTGTTGACGAGGGATGCCCATGTGTTTGAGGAAAACCCATTGCTGGTTGAAGCCTATGTGATTCAGGAGATTAAAACTGTGAGGGAAAGGTCTGGCATTTGGAGAAACCGGAATCTTTATCCAGACGTTGCCAGAGTGTTTAAATCTTTGGACTGGGAGGTTGCATGGGACCTGAGGTTTTCCAGGTCTGTGAAGCAGTATGGCTTTTCTCATTCTTTAAGTGCGTTTAGTGTTATTGTTTATGTCTTTGCATTGGCTGGGATGAAAATGGAAGCGCAGTCTTTTCTCAATGATATTGTTTGCTATTATCGAGATGCTAAGTATGATGCATTTGGGTTGTTCCCATATGTATTTGATTCACCTCACAATGGGGCGAGAACTCTTGTATTTGATGCACTCATTACGGCTTTTGCTGCCTACTCGATGCTTGAGAATGCTGTGGATGTTTTTGTGCAGAACAAAAACATGCAGCTTGAACCACACATTTGATCTTGTAATTTTTTGCTCAAGTGTTTGGCAGAAGCAAACAAATTGGAATCTGTTAGGATTTTATTTGAATGTTTAAAAAAGTATGGTCCTTCACCTAATGTTTACACTTACACAATTATGATGAACTTTTACTGCCAAGGACATGAAGGGAAGGGTGTCGATATTGGTGAAGCGACCGACATTCTTCAGGAAATGGAGAAGCGTGGGAAACACCCAACTGTTGTGATATTCGAAACTTGAGTTTGTTTTGGACTTTATTCGAAACTTGAGATGCAGAAATCAACCTCGTAATAGTTACTGTTATAACGCCGTACTTCTTGGATTTTGCCAAAAAGGCGAAACGTATGAAGCTTGGAAGATTTTGGAAGAAATGAAGACGTATGGGACAATACCAGATGTTTATTGCTACACCATTTTAATAGGTGGATTTTGCAAGGAAGGAGATATTGAGATTGCTCTCACTTTATTTGAAGAAATGGAGCATTATAAAATTGAACCGTCTTTAGTTAGCTATTGCTCACTGATATACGGCCTTTGTAAGATTGGGTTGGTGGATGACTCACTGGATATTTTCCGTGATCTTGAAGCAGCTGGGGTGCGCCCTGATGCCATCACTTGTACCCTCATTGTTGAAGGGTACTGTAGGGAAGGACGCTTGGAGGAAGCCTTGAAATTTATGTATGAGATGCATGATCAAGGCATAAACCTTAACTCATATACTTATAATGCAGTCATCAAGAGTTTGTGCAAAGACAACCGGAAAAAGCGTGGGAATTTTTCCCTCAAATGCTCAAGAGGAATATACATCCAGAAGTTGCAAATTATAATACTCTTATGAATGGTTTTGCAAGGCTGTTAAGTACAAAGAAGGCCTCGCTTGTGTATAAAGGAATGCTGAGAGTTGGTGTCATGCCCAATACAGTAACATATACGATCCTTATTAACACATTCTGCCAGGGAGGCAAAATGTGTGAAGCTTATGACTTGTTCATGGAAATGAGTGAAAAGGGTTTGGTTGTGGATGTCATTTGTTACACGTCTCTAATTGCTGGGTTTTATAAAATTGGACACATGAACAAGGCTTGGGTGTTGTTCAATGAAATGTTGAGGAATAACCATTTGCCCAATGCAATAACTTACACCTGTTTAATAGATGGGTTTTGCAAATCCTTGCGCATGGATTTTGCCAGCTTCTTGTTTGAGGAAATGAGGAGAACAAATGTTATTCCCGATGCTGTGACTTACACTGTGCTCATGATTGGGTATGGCAGATTTGGGAATATTGATAGAGCAATTCAATTATTTGGTGAAATGAAGGAGAGGGGTATTGCCCCACATATTATTGCCCAGGAAACTATGGGGCTTTATACTGGCGCACTTACAAAATGTTAGGATACTGAAGGAATGATGTTTTCAAGGACCACCACATGGTATACTGATTGGATTTCTTTCTATTTCTTCAATTTGGTTTATCCTTGTAGTTGTATCGTACTAGTTTTGTACTTTTGAAATTTTAGCTGAGTACATATTTAAAGTTATTGGCCTATAACTTTTCTTTTTTAAATGAATACTAGCAACTATATCTGAACCAGGGAAAGGACATATGCCGAAAGAATCTTAAAGGCAAGTTATTTCTTTACATCTGTTTTATTTCTGGGCCATTTCTTCTTTAAATTTGCATGCGTATAACTGTCATATGCATTCTTTGTATTTTGACTAAAGTTAGTATAGGATAATTTTTTAGACTTCTTATAAGTGTTATAAATTGAATTCTGGGCCAGATCTTGTTGAAAATGTAATGATTGGTCACACTTAAATACCAGATGACGTATTCAATAACCTATTGGGTACGGGTTGACACTTTGCAATAATCGAAGGACATGTAAACTTGCCTTCTTCATAAACAATTACTTCATGTTTCTTAGTTTAGGTTGCTGATACGAATATTTCTGGAGCTTCATTGATTTGTTTTACTGAATTTATCCTAAATGTATTTGGGGAGCTTCATGTTACTTAGTTTAGGTTGCTGATACGAATATTTGTGCACATTAGTTGATGTGTTTACGGACATGCTTGTTTCCTGGCTCAAATGTTCCGATTCTTATGTTCTTAAGCAGCAACAGAGGTGTTTCAAAACTTCAGTAGACGTCGTTGTTTACTTGAACAAACAATATGAACTTATAATTCCAGTTGATATGGGAGGAACAAGTTATCAGTTCAATAATCTATTTAGATTCTACTTTAAGTTTTTCAATGAGAATAGTCCCTGTAATCTTGTCTTTTATATGTAATTTTGATGCATGAGCGTGGACTAGTTGTGGAGGGGAAGGTTTAATGAAACCTAAGTGCTACTGGATCACATGTTTGTTATCTGCAGGCAGGGCAAACCATAAAAGTTAGTGAGAAGCTTCAGTCAAAACAATTTATTTCAACAATTTGGGCTTCACTAAATATGCCGTTTACATATGGGGAAGATAGAAAATGCTGATTAGACTTGGAGGAAACAATAGTGTGCTGCAGGTAATTCTTTATCCTAGTTGGATACATCATGCATTTATAGCGTAGCTAACTGAGTACAGTATGATTTTGTATTCAAATTCTTAAGGATATCATAGTCTTGATTCCGAAGTTAATTATATATATATATATATAGATATTATCACCAATATTGATTGGGATTCCTCATTTAAATGGTTGACCAGATTCTTTGGATCTGATGACTTGCAGCTTTAATCATATTTCCGAAGAATAGACTGGTGCTCTAGATACTTTGAAGATTCCAGCTTTACCCTGTAGTCATCAATGGGTAAACCTCTTCTTGTACATGTAATGTTGACCGTTAATCTGTCATAAGTTTTCCTCTGCCTTTGTATTTTAAGAGGAAGTGGACTCCACAAACATACTGATGTATAACCATTAACCAGACAAAAATACAACATCAAGTTATATAACAAAGGGGTGTGATATGAAGAAGAGTAGACAAAAGAAGATAAAAAATATGAATTAAACTCAACTGGTCTGATTAAATTATAATGCAGTTTCATATTTATAGAAGCTGCGGAAAATAGACATTAATTGTGAAGTAATCCAAAGGTAAAGACTAACAGAAAAGACATCAAAAGAATCATAATCATGATATAACATATAAACATGAATGTGGATGAGACTTTTGGCAGCAAATTCTTTCTTTGTTCTTAGAAGGTTTGTAGATTTCTGTTCATCCATGAGAATGAAATGATTCCAATTAGGTTGGTTTTTTATTGATTTCTGACAAACTAAGCTGCACACAAATAATCTGTGCAGTTTTGTCAATTCCAAACTCTTCTACCATTGTCATCTATAGGCTGTCCTAGTTAGTAGACCACGAAATGGCCTGACATTGTTTTGGATCCCTCCAGAAGTGCTAACGCTGACTCTCTGTTGACTACACTTGCCCGTTTGAAGAAATTTATTCTAGTTGCCATTATTTTCCTGCAATTTGTGATTGAAGCATGTATGTTCCTATTATATTGCTTTCTTGTCTCAGCAATGAAGGAGAATCAGAATAATCAAATGATAGATTTTAAGAGGATTTGAACATGGTGAACTCTTTAGTCACTCTAGTTGACAAATGACTATGGCTTCTTAGGTTTTTATTTTTGTTACTCAAATGAATGCATCAGTATTTGCCTAAACATGTCATTGTTGCTGGAAACATTCTTTGCGCTTTCTTAGGATTTGAAAGTATTGACCTCTTAATTCACTTGTTGATAATGTCATTTGGGGTTTTTAGTTGTGCTGTTTTATATACATGCATCGTTGTTCGCTTAAAACGTTTCAGTTTTCGCCTGTTTGCATTCGTATTGTTTTTGAGGTCTTTAGTTGTCAGCATAAAAGAGACAAATTCATTGAGTATATATTTTTAACTCAATTCTTCTTTAATGAACTTTTCCCTAAAGAAATATGGCAAAAAATTCGCTGTTTAATGTTTTTTCATTATTTATATACATTTTGGTAATTTCATCTATATAACAGGAGTAACAGGTTGGGGAGTCATGGTGAATCACAGCCGTTGATTTATCCATGACTCGGTTAATTTTCATGACACAGCCGTACTTTGTGTCTAGGACTATAAATGAAGCCAAATACTCAAACATAATGAAGAAATGATGGTTTGAGTTGTCTATCTGACTGTCTTGGATTAGCATTGGCATTGTAGCATATTTTAGAGCATTTGCGCTACCTCTTTCCTGTTTGTCTGCTTTGAAATGGTTTAACTTAGAACACAAGTATCATTCTTGTGATTTTCCGTGGAAAATGTGTCTTGAAAGGATTTTTGTATCTGTGCTTTGGCAACTTGCTTTGCACACTAAACTTCCAAAGTAAGCTATTTTAATATTTGATACTTTTATAGGATTGTCTTGGAAGGCACTTCACAGTTTAAACACATCATGGGAAGGTTAAATGGACGGTAACATCCTTAGAAACCTGCCAATTTACTTGAGTGGGAAGTGATTTCTACACATCCCCTTCTCCTCTTGCACGCCTCTCTATATTTCTGTTCTGTGACGGCAGAAATAAGTGAGGGGTTTAGGTGGAGAAAAGAGTTGTGGGGGGTTCTCTCTAATTGATCATCATTAATTGAAATACCCTTGTTACTACTATGTTTAGTCATCCTAATCTATAGTAATTCATTCCATTTTCTCTTTCGATGTTTCATGAAACAATGTGAAATCTCTTGCCCAACACTTTTTGCAGACTTCCAATTGACGTTGACTGTGCTTTAGAGGTGGGAAAAACAGGAAGAGAGGGATGTGAATAGCATCGATATTGTAGTAGTTGGTTTAGGTTGGTTTTCGTCAGGTCTCAAAGGGGGAAGCAACCTTGGATTGTGGACACAGGATGGCACTGAAATTACTTTTGGAGAACGTTAGTTATTGGTCGGGCTCCATTCTGGGTTTTGATACCGGAGGCAGTTGGCGACCGGAGTAACTTGAAGCTCAAGGAAAAAGCTTCAAATGGAGAGTGCAGTTTTCCTTTCCGAGGCTACCATTCGAGGTTTGAGACGATCTTGGCCACTATCTGCTTAAAGAAGTTGTCGAAGGCTACATTGCGGGTCTTCTGTTAGGAGACGATTTTGTTTATCGAGAAAGCAGTTGTAGAATCATTCGTTTTATTGTTGATTCAGGTCATAACACTTGGTTACGTATTTTTGTTGTGTAAGGGCATCTATGTTTGGCTTTACCGCCTATTGTGTAATTGATATATCCACATGCTTCACAAACAAGAGTAGATGAACCCGCACACACGGGGGTTAATATTATGGCATATTTGTCATTTTGTCCCCTTAACTTGTACAGAGCTGTCAACTTTCTCCAAACTTTAATTTTAGCCATTTACCCTCATTAACTTTTATAGTTAGCCAATTTCCCCTTGAATTTTAATTTTAGCCGATTACCCCTGAACTTTTATAGATAGCCAAATCTCCTCCTGACTCTACATTTTAAAAATTTTCATTTAGTTTGATCACACGGACAACACACGACAGTTGTATTGGGGCAAAAAGAATGGAAAATTGGAGGGAAAATTTTAAAATCTAAAGCTAGGAGGGAAATTGGCTAATTATAAAATTTTAGGGGGTACTCAGCTAAAGTTAAAGTTTAGAGGAGAAATTGCCTAATTATGCAAGTTCAGGAGGGTCAACGGCTAAGTGCCCCAGCTTAACATGTCAATAATGAACACCCATAATCCCATTGTCGGTAAACTCTTTTCCTTTTGTTGTAGCTATCTTCCTTGTATTGTATGAGGGGATAGTATGAAGTATAGGAGCTCAGGTACAAAAATAAACGCTGTTTTTAACACCCAAAAATCCTTATCAGGAAGCCCTTCTTGTTAATTGATTCATAGCTGTCCATTGACGTAAGTTTCAGAGCTATTCATTAAAAAGTTTTATAGTAGTAAGGAGTTTGTAGCTTAAAGGGTGAAGAACATTTACTTATGCATTTGAGGTTTTAAATTCGGTTTTCTCCTTCCATAGTACTGCTTGTATCAAAAGTCTAATGGTTGCGTTGAAGTCAAAAACATTGAAAAGCATAAGCTGCTTCTATCACCTTATGTATTAATTTCAAGCAACAATGTTCCTATAAGTTGTTACTCCCTTATAACTTACTAACCCAATTCCATACCAACGGTATCCTACAATTTTGAATATTGATTTATTAGTAAAAAGCCGTCTCCTATATTTGAATTGCCGGAACAAGAATTTTATGTGAGAGTTGAAGCCTAAAAGGGAGAATTGGGAAATTTTCCTCATAGGGGATTTTAGTGGTTTTCCTTGGAGATGGAAAATCCGCCCGCCGGTTATAATTTGCAAATTCTTCCGCGATTAATTAAAAGAATGAAATTGGCTGATATTATGACGGTACTAGGTAGATAGATATCATTATGGAAGAAGTTCATCGTTGAAATGGTAATTGATAAATAGAAGTACAAGATATCAATTGTGTCATTCTAAATTTGTCTCAACCTTTTTAAACATTCCAAACAAGTATCCAATCTATTGATAATGTCACATCCGTTGAGCCCTAATTAAATTTCTATTAGATTAACTAGGTTTTACTTTGTCTCCAACATCAATAGAAGGTCATGAAAGTATAGCTTCCACCAAGTAACCGCCCTTTAGGCCATCACCTCTAAACCCAATCTACAACCACAAACTCCCACCCTGTAACTCAAGCTGCCAACATCCAAAAAAGGTCATAAAGGTTGCTGAAATGGTATGAATTACCATGATGTAGCTTCAACTACCTTCATCGTCTACGAAAAGGATTGGAAGCTTTACTACCTCCTTTAAACTCTATTTGAATTTTTATCCTTTTTTTTTAAAGAAATTTTCCAATATTTATTATTTCATTGATGAACTTTTCATATTTAATTTAATTTTTCATTTTCATATCTCATTGTTGCCACATGTAAATTTAACGAAATAATTGAATGCGACTTAATAACTACTACTCGCTTTAGTACTATGCATGGAGTTCTAGCAAAAAAGGTACTGTGCATGGAGTAAAGAGATTAAAGGGGAATGGCACACTACATTCATGACCGGCACGCGGATTCCTCATACACACCAGCTGGAATCTTTCGTGGCAACTCTATCCATGTAAAACACCGTCGCACTCCACGTGCCTCTCCCCAAAACACCACTGCCCTCCACTCATAACCACCGACAACTATTAAACCACTCATTTCTTGGACCTCCCCCCCATTGGGTTTCAAACAAACTTTGGCAATTTACAGAAAACCTAGGACTTCTGAGCCATTTTAATTTTCATCGTCCTTAGTCATCACCATGGCTCCATGGGAAGTCCTTGACCTAGTTTCTCACCACCTTGACCCTAAATCCCTAGCCATATCCTCCTGTGTCTGCAAGTCATGGTTCATTTCTCTGTCTTGCGACCACAATTGGCAGCCCATTTGCGCGTCCCATTTCTCTTCTCTTTCTACCCTCAAACTTGATAACATTCATCCAGATATGTAGAGATGAATGTATGTATGCAAAACATACAATAACAAAGCCTAAAGAAATAGAGAGACGAGAGCGAGAGAAAGACGAAGAAAAATGAAAGCTTTTGTTATTTCTCAACAGATTCAATACAATGCTCACACACACAGAGTAAATATTTATATAGCCTGCAGATATGCCTTATCAGCTACGCTATCACTGTAACTACCTGATAACATACTAACTAACTCCAATAGCTGATGTGGTAATCTGTGATGATGTGTCAAATGATGTGACAGTCAACTGATGATGTGGCAATAGCCATATACCTTCAACATCCCCCCGCAATCTCAACTGGGATTTTCCAGTTTGAGATTGTAACAATGTTTAACAAATAATGGACTGCGAAGACCTTTGGTGAGAATATCCGAAGTTTGTTCTTCAGTTGGGATGTACACAACCTTTAAATCGCCTTGTTGCATTGCTCCCTCACAAAATGATAATTTGTATTAAGGTGTTTTATTCTTGAGTGAAACACCAGATTAGCACTTAATGCAATTGCAGATATATTGTCACAGTGAATGGTAGGTGGAGCATCCAAGAACACTCCTAAATCCTTCAATACATTTCATATCCAAACTATATCTGTTGCAGTATGCGCTAAGGCTTTATATTTAGCTTTAGTAGAACTCCTCGACACTGAATTTTGTTTCTTTGACTAGTATGAAATTGGATTATTCCCTAAGTACACCACATAACCAGTTATTGATCTTCGAGTATTCAAATCTGCAGCCCAATCAGAATCAGAAAAGGCAGTGAGCTGTGAAACCGTGTTTGCAGAGAATGTAATACCAGCATTTATGGTTCCTTGAAGATAACTAATAATTCGTTTGACAACTCCAAAATAAACATCTGTTAGTGAAGACATGAACTGGCATACTGTGTTCCAACATAGGCGATATTTGGCCTAGTAAAAGTCATATATTGTAAAGATCCCACAATGCTTCGATAAGTACTTAGATTTGTCAACAATTGTCCTTCTAAATGCAACAGTTGATTATGAGGTTTACAAGGGGTATTTGCTGGTTTGCATGAATCCATTCCTACTTTATGGACCAAATCTTTAATATACTTTGATTGACTAACAAAGATTCCTCCATCCTCTTTATATTGAACTTGTAATCCCAGAAAGTATGTAAGCTGCCCCACGTCTTTTAAGTCAAACACCTCAGAAAGCTCGTGAATCATTTGTTGTATCTTCAAAGCATTGGATCCAGTTAAGATTATGTCATCAACATACAGTAATAAAATGATGATATTAGATTCATCCTTCTTCACAAACAGACTTGTACGAGAAGCAGAAGTATGAAATCCCAGAACTGCCAAATAGTTTGTAAACTTTGAGTTCCAAGACCTTGAGGCCTGTTTTAAGCCATATAATGACTTAATCAATTTGCAAACATGAAAAGGATAGGATGGATCAATAAACCCCTGTGGTTGCTTCATATACACTTCTTCTTGTAAATCTCCATGTAAGTAAGCATTCTTGATGTGTAGTTGTCTAAGATTCCAATGATTTATAGCAGCTAAGGCTAAAATAATCATGGTCGTAGTATGCCTTACAACCGGACTAAATGTATGCAAGTAATCAACCCTATGTTCTTGAGAGAAACCTTGAGCTACAAGTCTTGCCTTGTATCTGGACACACTGCCATCTGGATTTTTCTTCACTTTGTATACCCACTTGCTTCCTACTATTGCTCGAGGAGATGGAACCAAGATCCAGGTCCCTTATGCTCTAAGAGAATCATATTCCTCTTGCATTGCCTTTTGCCAGTGTGGAATAGTAGCAGCTTTCCTAAATGTTTTAGGTTCTGAGACATCCGTGATTTCAGAAATAAAGGAGTAGCCACCAGTGAATGGCTTTTCCTCAGTGATTTGAAGGGACTGAAGTTTCAGACAATGTGATATTAAAGCAGCATAATTTCTTCTCTCAATTGTTCCACTTTTCAATCTAGTTATCATTGAATGTGTAGATGGGACAATATTTGAATTTAAATCAGACGGAGATAAATTTGGAAGAATTACCTCTAGTTAATGATTTGAGTGGACATGCAACAATGATTGTGTACCAGAGTGATGATTTGTAGGAGAGTGATGATGTATTGAACTTGGAGACCCATGTAACGAAGTACCAGCAGTCGAACTTGCACCACTATCATTGTTTTGAAGTCTATGTGACCTGTTAGGATTGAACACATTCAAGTTATCAATTGAATTTTCACCGTCACCATTTCCAGGAGTATACGGATTTGAACCAATATCATGTTCTGATATATGCACAGAACTAATTACTTGTGAATCAGTATGTAATTGTGAAACAAACATGTCTCTTTCTCTTGGAACCTGTACCTGAATGACAATAAGTGCCTGAGACGACCTACAAACACTCGAATCGAAGAGACCTTATGTGGTTGAGCTTGTCTGAAGGGATAAACATCTTCATCATGAATGACATGCCTTGATAAGATGAACTTTTTGGTCTTAATATCATAACAGATGACTCCTTTATAACCATGGGTAAGACCAAGGAATACACATTGAGTAGATATTGGTTCTAGCTTATGTTTGTTGAATGGTCTTAGTAATGGATACACTGCAGTGCCAAAGACTTTAAGATGTTGAATCTCAGGAATACTACTGAATACAACTTGATAAGGAGACTACATATTTAGATTCCTGGAAGGCATTCTATTAACTAAAAAAGCAGCATGTGAACAAGCATGATACCAGACTATTAAAGATATTTGAGCATCTGATAACAGATTAATAGCTGTCTC